AGCGCCCGCTCGTTGGGTTCGGGCCGCCCGTGCCAGCGAAGGACACAGAGACCAGGTAAGGGAAGCTGGCGAGGTCTCAGGCCGTGAGGGTGGTGGAGAGGGCACTGCAGCGTCTGTGGAGGGTGGTGCTCTGGGCTCTGAGACCCTGGAGTCCTTTGTAGACCTGGGGTCGTAGCGGGGTCGCCGGAGTACCTTGAATGTGGCAGGGAAGGCAATGGAGAGACGGACGTGCCACTTTCCTTCTGTCTGCAAGCACTTAGGGGTGGACACGGGGCCCTGTCTAAGGACTCTGGAGACCTGGGCTTGCATTCGTCCCCCGAGCCGGTTTTCCTGACCCCCCAAATCCAGGCTGAATCAGCTCTAATCTTTAGAGCCTTTCTTGCCCAAACAATTTGCAGCCGAGAGCTGTCCAGCACAGGGCCTGCTGAAGTTCACCAGGGAGGGGGTGCTGGTAAGAAGTAGGGGAGGGGAGGAGGTCCATTCAGTGAGGTGGCCTCCGATGGGGGGAACTCCTGCTCATCACTCAGCTCCTTCCTAAGGATGCAGGGCTGGAGGAGGTGACGGGCACTGACTGTCCCCCGCTACCCCCGGCAGTGCTGCTGGCGGGTGAGAAGTGATTTGCATTCACACAGCTCTCTGTGGCCTGTGTGCCAGGCAGTGCACTGGACACTGTCAATGCCAAGTTGGGCAAACCCGGTTCTGCCTGTTTAGTGGGGGAGACGCATTAAAAAATGCGTGCACTTCCCGTGGGAGGGTGTACAGGGATTCCTCAAGGCAGCTGGGGGCTCTGGGATGGCTTTAGAGAGGAGGACATTCCAGGCAAAGGGAGAACGTGTGGAGGCACTGAGAGGCAAGGGTGGGGCCCATTAGGGAGCCAGTGGTGAGAGATGAGACTGCGGAGGGAGGGGGTGACTGTCGGATGGAGACTGGCTTACCAATGGTATATGGGGAGGGGGGGGGCTTGATCCTTAGGTGTGAGGGCCCTTGGAATTGTCTGTGTGCTGGTGGCTGGAGGGAATGGTATTTCCTCTAATTATTAATCTTAGCAATGGTCAGAAGGGACCCCATGCCTGAACAAGGGTTTGCTCAAAGCCACCGTCCTCCCCAGGGAGCGCATGGAGGCCATGGAGAAGCAGATCGCCAGCCTCACAGGCCTGGTGCAGAGTGCCCTGCTGCGAGGCTCGGAGCCCGAGACCCCCAGGTGAGGCTGCTCCCAGCACCAGGCAGGGCCCGCAGCTGGGGCAAGAGGGAGGGAGCGTGGGCAGCAGGGGCCCCAGGCTCAGCTCTGCCAGTGTGTCTCCGTGTGACTCGGTGTGAGTCCCTTCCTTTCTCGGGGCTCCATCCTGAGATCAGGGGCCTGGAGAGTATGGTTAGGTCTCACCCCGCTTTGACCGCCTGGGCCAGCCTGGACCCTCTGATGGCCCTCTTTTCCCTGTGCCACAGCGAGAAGATCGAAGGCTCCAATGGAGCAGCCACGCCCTCAGCACGTGAGTGACCCTTCTCTCCTCCCCTTATAAACGCTCCGAGCCTCAGATTACCAATCTGTAAACAATACTTGAAAGGAAAATGAGTAGTCACCTTAGCCCAAGAAGTCTTTGCCCTGACGCCCCACAGGAGGGCTGACTACCATCTGGGACAGGGAGTCAGAGCCACGTGCCTCTGTCGCTACTGTGTGGGGGGGACCTTGTCTCAACCCCTCCAAGCTCATGGTTTGTTCTCCCATCCGCACGGTCCCTCTGCAGCCTGCGGGTCCGGCAGCCGGAGCAGCGGGGCCACCCCAGTGTCCGGCCCTCCCCCACCCTCAGCCAGCAGCACCCCCGCGGGGCAGCCCGCTGCCATCAGCCGTTTGCAGATGCAGCTGCACCTGCGCGGCCTGCAGAGCAGCACCAGCGACCTGCGCGGCCAGCTTCAGCAGTTGCGGAAGCTCCAGGTACCGCCCCCTCCGGGGCCCCGCCCCGTCTGAACCCACCCACTTGTGCGGAAACTTTCCCCCGGAAGTCCGGCCCCGTCCCCTCTATCCAGTCCCTGCCGACCACTGGGCCCCTCTCCGAACGCTTCTCCCCTTCCCCTTCCTTGAGTTCTGCCCCCTCGCTGAGTCTCTGTGCCCTGACCAAGCCCATCCCCATCCCTGAATCCTTACCGCGCTCCTGGAACCCCCATCCAGCCCACGGAGCCGCCCCCCCTCCAGCTAGTACTCAGGGACGCCCCAGTCCCCCTTT